TTCTTTCTTTCTTTCTTTCTTTCTTTCATTCTTTCTTTCTTTCTTTCTGTCTGTCTCTCTCTCTCTCTCTCTCTCTCTCTCTCTCTCTTTCTAGAAATTACTCTCGTGGCACTGTGGAGGATGAACTGGAATGGGGAGACTGGAGGCTGGGAGAGTGGTCAGGAGCTTGGTAAAGGAGTCTAATCAGGTAATAATTTTTCAAAGTCAGGACAGCATTAATAACTCTCAGGATCATAGGCCTTTTACTAGACCTTCTTCCCTAGAAGAGCTACATTTCCTAGGGTCATGAAATAAACTTTTTTTTTTTAACTTTTAAGTTCAGGGTATATGTGTAGGTTTATTACATAGGTAAACTTGTGTCATGCGGGCTTGTTGTACAGATTATTTCATCACTCAGGTATTAAGCCTAGTATCCATTAATTATTTCTCTTAACCATCTCCCTCTTCCCATCCTCCACCCTCTGATAGGCCCCAGTGTGTGGTGTTCTCCTTTATGTGTTTGTGTTTTCCCATCATTTAGCTCCCACTTATAAGTTTACTGTACCTATCAACCCATCACCTAGGTATTAAATCCTGCTTGCATTAGCTATTTATTCCGATGCTCTCCCTCCCCTCCCCCAACCCCCACAAAAGGCCTCAGAGTGTGTTGTTCCCCTCCTTGTGTCGATGTGTTTTGATTGTTCAGCTATCACTTATGAGTGAGAACACGCAGTATTTGGTTTTCTGTTCCTGTTTAGATTGCTAAAGATAATGGCCTCCAGCTCCATCTATGTCCCTGCAAAGGACATGATTTTTTTCTTTACTTTCTTTTTTTTTTTTTTTTTTATTGTACTTTAGGCTCTGGGGTACATGTGCAGATCATGCAGGATTGTTGCATAGGTACACACATGGCAATGTGGTTTGCTGCCTCCATCCCCCCGACACCTACATCTGGCATTTCTCCCTATGTTATTCTTTCCTGACCTCCCCACCTCCCGGCTGTCACTCCCTTGACACCCCCCAACAGACCCCAGTGTGTGATGCTTCCCTCCCTGTGTCCATGTGTTCTCATTGTTCAACACCCGCCTATGAGTGAGAACATGTGGTGTTTGATTTTCTGTTCTTTCATCAGTTTGCTGAGAATGATGGTTTCCAGATTCATCCATGTCCCTACAAAGGACACGAACTCATCATTTTTTATGACTGCATAGTATTCCATGGTGTATATGTGCCACATTTTCCTTGTCCAGTCTATCATTGATGGGCATTTGGGTCGGTTCCAGGTTTTTGCTACTGTAAACAGGGCTGCAATGAACATACATGTGCATGTGTCTTTATAATACAATGATTTATAATCCTTTGGATATATACCCAGTAATGGGATTGCTAGGTCAAATGTATTTTCTATTTCTAGGTCCTTGAGGAAGTGCCACGCTGTCTTCAACAATGGTTGAACTAGTTTACACTCCCACCAACAGTGTAAAAGTGTTCCTATTTCTCCACATCCTCTCCAGCATCTGTTGTCTCCAGATTTTTTAATGATCGCCATTCTAACCGGTGTGAAGTGATATCTCAATGTGGTTTTGATTTGCATTTCTCTAATAATCAGTGATAATAAGCATTTTTTCATATGTTTGTTGGCCTTATATATGTCTTCTTTTGAAAAGTATCTGTTCATATCTTTCACCCACTTTTGGATGGGTGTCTTTGTTTTTCTCTTGTAAATCTGTTTTAGTTCTTTGTAGATACTGGATATTAGCCCTTTGTCAGATGGGTGGATTGCAAAAAATTTTTCCCATTCCGTTGGTTGCTGATTCACTCTAATGACTGTTTCTTGTGCTGTACAGAAGCTCTGGAGTTTGATTAGGTCCCATCTGTTTATTTTGGCTTTTGTTGCCAATGCTTTTGGTGTTTTGGTCATGAAGTCCTTGCCTATGCCTATGTCCTGAATGGTTTTGCCTGGATTTTCTTCTAGGGTTTTTATGGTGTTAGGCCTTATGTTTAAGCCTTTAATCCATCTGGAGTTAATTTTAGTGTAAGGTGTCAGGAAGGGGTCCACTTTCTGCTTTCTGCACATGGCTAGCCAGTTTTCCCAGCAACATTTATTAAACAGGGAATCCTTTCCCCATTGCTTGTTTTTTTCAGGTTTGTCAAAGATTGGATGGTTGTAGATGTGTTGTGTTGCCTCTGAGGCCTCTGTACTGTTCCATTGGTCCATATCTCTGTTTTGGTACCAGTATCATGCTGTTTTGATTACTGTAGCCTTGTAGTATAGTATGAAGTCTGGTAGTGTGATGCCTCCTGCTTTGTTCTTTTTGCATAGAATTGACTTGGCTATGCGGGCTCTCTTTTGCTTCCATATGAAGTTTAAGGTGTTTTTTTCCAGTTCTGTGAAGAAGGTCATTGGTAGCTTGATGGGCATAGCATTGAATCTGTAAATTACTTTGGGCAGTATGGCTATTTTCATGATATTGATTCTTCCTAAACATGAACATGGAATGTTTCTCCATCTGTTTGTGTCCTCTCTTATTTCGTTGAGCAGTGGTTTGTAGTTCTCTTTGAAGAGGTCCTTTACGTTCCTTGTTAGTTGTATTCCTAGGTATTTTATTGTCTTTGTAGCAATTGTGAATGGCAGTTCGTTCTTGATTTGGCTCTCTTTAAGTCTGTTATTGGTGTATAGGAATGCTTGTGATTTTTCCATATTGATTTTGTATTCTGAGACTTTGCTGAAGTTGCTTATCAGTTTCAGGAGATTTTGGGCTGAGATGATGGGGTCTTCTAGATATACAATCATGTCATCTGCAAATAGAGACTCTTTGACTTCCTTCTTTCCTATTTGAATACACTTTATTTCTTTTCTTGCCTGATTGCTCTTGCTAGAACTTTTAGTAGTATATTGAATAAGAATGATGAGAAAGAGCATCCTTGTCTAGTGCCAGATTTCAAAGGGAATGCTTCCAGTTTTTGCCCATTCAGTATGATATTGGCTGTTGGTTTGTCATAAATAGCTTTTATTATTTTGAAATAAGTTCTGTCAATACCTAGTTTATTGAGGGTTTTTAGCATAAAGGGCTGTTGAATTTTGTCAAAGGCCTTGTCTGCATCAATTGAGATAATCTTGTGGTTTTTGTCTTTGGTTCTGTTTATGTGGGGAATTATGTTTATCGACTTGTGCATGTTGAACCAACCTTGCCTCCCCAGGATGAATCCTTCCTGATCATGGTAGATAAGCTTTTTGTTGTGCTGTTGCAATCAGTTTGCTGGTATTTTATTGAAGATTTTTGCATCTATGTTCATCATGGATATTGGCCTGAAGTTTTCTTTTCTTGCTGAGTCTCTGTTGGGTTTTGGTATCAGGATGATGTTGGTCTCATAAAATGATTTGGGAAGGATTTCCTATTTTTTGATTGTTTGGAATAGTTTCAGAAGGAATTGTACCAGCTCCTCTTTGTATGTCTGGTAGAATTCAGCTGTGAAACCATCTGGACGTGGGCTTTTTTTGGGTGGTAGGCTCTTAATTGCTGCCTCAACTTCAGACCTTATTATTGGTCTATTCAGGGTTTCAACTTCTTCCTGGTTTAGGCTTGTGTCCAGGAATTTATCCATTTCTTCCAGGTTTACTAGTTTATGTGCATAGAGTTGTTTGTAATAATCTCTGATGATGGTTTGTATTTCTGTGGAATCTGTGGTGATATCCCCTTTATCATTTTTTGCTGCATCTATTTGATTCTTCTTTCTTTTCTTTTTTATTAACCTGGCTAGCAGTCTATTTTGTTGATCTTTTCAAAAAACCAGCTCCTGGATTTATTGATTTCTTTGCAGGGTTTTTTTTTTTGTGTCTCTCTCCTTCAGTTCTGCTCTCATCTTAGATATTTCTTGTCTTCTGATAGCTTTTGAGTTTTTTTTAACTTGCTCCCCTAGCTCATTCAACTTTGATAATAGGGTGTTGATTTTATATCTCTCTTCGCTTCTCATGTGGGCATTTATTGCTATAAATTTCCCTCTAGACACTTCTTTAATCACACATACCCAGTGATTCTGGTATGTTGTGTCTTCATTCTCGTTGGTTTCAAAGAACATCTTTGTTTCTGCCTTCATTTCATTGTTTATCCAGTCGACATTCAGGAGCAAGTTGTTCAGTTTCCATGAAGGTGTGCGGTTCTGAGTTAGTTTCTTAATTCTGAGTTCTGATTCGATTGCCCTGTGGTCTGAGAGACTGTTTGTTACGATTTCCAATCTTTTGCATTTGCTGAGGAGTGATTTTCTCCCAATTATGTGGTCAGTTTTAAAGTAGGTGCAATGCAGTGCTGAGAAGAATGTATATTCTGTGGATTTGGGGTGGAGATTTCTGTAGATGTCTATTAGGTCCACTTGGTCCAGATCTGAGTTGAAGTCTTGGATATCCTTGTTAATTTTCTGTCTCGTTGATCTGTCTAATATTGACAGTGGAGTGTTAAAGTCTCCCACTATTATTGTGTGGGAGTCTAAGTCTCTTTGTAGGTCGTTAAGAACTTGCTTTATCTACCTGGGTGCTCCTGTATTGGGTGCATATATATTTAGGATTGTTAGCGCTTTTTGATGCATTGATCCTTTTACCGTTATGTAATGTCCTTCTTTGTCTCTTTTGATCTTTGTTGTTTTAAAGTCCATTTTATCAGAGACTAGGATTGCAACTCCTGCTTTTTTTTGCTCTCCATTTGCTTGATAAATCTTCCTCCATCCCTTTATTTTTAGCATATGTGTGTCCTTGCACATAAGATGGGTTTCCTGAATACAGTACACTGATGGGTCTTGACTTTTTATCCAGTTTGCAAGTCTGTGTCTTTGATTGGGGCATTTAGCCCATTTACATTTAAGGTTAATATTGTTATGTGTGAGTTTGATCCTACCATTTTGATGCTAGCTGGATGTTTTGCCTGTTAGTTGATGCATTTTCTTGATTGTTTTGATGGTCTTTACCATTTGCTATGTTTTGGAGTGGCTGGTACTGGTTGTTGCTTTCCTCGTTTAGTGCTTCCTTCAGGAACTCTTGCAAGGCAGGTCTGGTGGTGACAAAATCTCTGAACAATTGCTTGTTTATAAAGGATTTTCTTTCTCCTTCACTTATGAAGCTTGGTTTGGCTGGATATTGAATTCTAAGTTGAAAGTTCTTTTCTTTAAGGATGTTGAATATTGGCCCTCACTCTATTCTGGCTTGTAGAGTTTCTGCAGAGAGGTCCACTGTGAGTCTGATGGGCTTCCCTTTGTGGGTAACCCGACCTTTCCTTCTGGCTGCCCTTAGCATTTTTTCCTTCATTTCAACCCTGGTGAATCTGATGATTATGTGCCTTGAGTTTACTCTTCTTGAGGAATGTCTTCGTGGTGTTCTCTGTAT